AGTCAGTTGGAAATTCGAAAGAAACCAAAGACCTAGCTTCTTAATGTGGAAAGGGGGTTTTGCTCCAACATACCATGTATATGCGCTGAATAGTAACGCCAGGATCGATGATGACACGCTCACCAGTTGGAAGCGTCTTCACTTCCATCCTCCGTCTCTTGTACTGGTCCGCAATCAATGGCGCAATGTTTGACTTGATTCCCCCAGTGCCAAGTCCGATGATGATGGCGGCAGCGATGAAGCCTCCCTGTATGCGGTCAGTGAAATTCTTCAGCTGCAAAACAGAAGTACTTACCAAGCCTGCTCCGTGAGCCAATGACACGGGCAAGGAAGTGAGCAGCAGAATCAATAATCCTACGATGTAGACCACGCAGAACACCAGAATGGTGACGTACTTTCCAAGATATTGGTCTGCGATTATGGCGCCAATTATTGGAGAGACGTATGCCCACAATTGAAAGAATAGGTTCAAGCCAGTGGCCGATTGATGACCCATGCCTGTAAAACAATGAGCGCGGATCTTCGATGGACCGGAACTGAATTTGTACCAAGAGCACCACGACCTTGACTTCCATCAAAAGGTCGTTGAATGTAGTTTTGGAACAAGCCTCCCATGCCGTAGTAAGTGAACCGTTCGCACAGCTCGACGAACGCAATCAAGAATGCGGAGACGGGCAATTTCTCTCCAACTTTTCGCAAGTGGCGTTTATCCTCGTCCGTAGGCTCTTCTCCGTCCGGAGTCATGGGTGAGGCTTTCTCGTCGGCTTCCATGTTGGTCTTTTCGCGCTCCATGGAATGACTTGGGGGCGAGTAGTCGTCTGCAACATGAGCCTCCTGCTTTGTTTCTCCCACAACAGACTCCTCCAGCCTGAAAGATTGTAAGCTTCACACATGTTGTCAATTGCGCACAGAATTCCGTACGTGACTGCCTCAGCAGCGCCATGGTCACCGGTGGCCATGTTTATAGGTCAATTGGGCGGCGGACGTCAGGATAAGGTCGAGGCTGCACGAGGGCGGGGAGGGCCAGGAAATCTTCCGCATTAAATCTGCATCCCTTTTCGCCTCTTCGGAATAGAACCAATCATCATTCACCCATACAATCAAGACTTAGCACTGAAGGATAATAGCGCGTTGCACCTAGACATTGCACCCAGGTACGGCAGATAGCCATCTCACCGCATTATCAGCATGGCACTGCAAGCCGCTGTCGTATCAGCCAAGGCATGATGGGGAGGTCGTTGGCTGGACGGGAGCCAAGTAAGCTTAAATGTAAGGGCATGCATGTTGTCGCTTCAAAAGGGACGATAGGCCAAATCAAAAGCAGTAAGTGGACGGGAATCGCGCCCCAGCGGTGGTAGCGTGTGGGCCGAAAGCCTGCAGGCGATCAACCTGGGAGGAGCAGGCCGCGCTGATCCAATGATGCGGGGTATAAGAGATGGCTCCTGGCTTCCTTTGGCCTGACAGTCGCGCCATTGGGGTTCACGTGTCGGTTTGCCCAGCTTGGTGCTACCCAAGAATTGCCTACGGTTTGCGCCCATCGAGTCGAGCTTCTCCAACAGGAAGGTCACAGTCGTATCTTTGTAGGCCAAGGCTGCCAGCATGCAACGGCAGCAAACTCACGCTAGAAAAGCCTTGCTGGTTTCTAGAAGAGCGGCTGAACATCCATGAGACAAGCTGACTTGATAACGTTCTTGTGGAAGCGGCCATCCAGCGAATCAGAGATGGAAACGACACATCTTTTCCATGGAATTGATGCACCAGTAGGTTGACTTGCGATGTCGTTGAAGAAAGGTGCGGCACTGCGGGAACGAAGCCTCCGAGGCTTGGTAGCAAAAGTCGTGGCACACCAAGGTAAGAAACTGAGCCGGAGCGACCAGAGAGCGACCACGGGAGTATGGAAAGTGTCTATCTCAAAAAGGCGTGCGTCTAGGGAGCATTCAAGACCCGCACCCATTTGAGGCTAGAACTCTCTAAATCCTTTACGCAGAATCATAAGGAGCAGTCGTAGTTGTGTGTGCCACGACTTTTGCTACCAACCTGAAGCCTCGCCCGGAAGGAAATGCGGTGGTCGGTCGGGTCCGAAGAAGGCCCGCAAAACGAGCAAGACCACCGCAGATCACTTGCCGACGTCAACCCCCTCGACTGGAGGCTGGAAGACTCAACATCTTCGACCCTGTTTGTACAATCTCACTACTCAGCGGGCTTTGATCAAACCGACTGTTCCAGTTCAGGTTTGGCATCAATTGTTTCTGGGTAAAGCGGTCGTCGCAAAGTTTGGCCCCAGAATTTGTGGCATGACCGGTTCCACAACAATCTTCGTTCCAAGAATTGTGATGGGAAAGGTTTGTTTGGCTTGACGTTGTGCAGGTGGAATTATCATTGGCAGACCAGGCGCTCGATCTTCAGGGACAGATTTGAAGACCCGGCTCCGCCATTTGGTTTTGCTCGATTGTCATTTCTCTTTTCTTAGTCCGCTGTATGTATAAGCAATGAGCAGCTCCTAGCCTCCAATACCTTCTTAATTGTTTTTGTACTCCTTGAGGAAGACCAACAAGGCTTTGGATGGTTCTGACACTCAGGCACGCTGGTGAACCCTCTATTTTTTCCTCTTGTCCTCTGCTGACGCAGATAGTACAACACGTCGAATCTCGAATCGCATTGTCTGAGACTACCCAAGGGGCTCGCGGGAACGAAGTAGTGTTCTTTCCGTTGGTATCAAGACTTTGGATCCGCGTCCACTGAAGTATTTGGCCAACGGAAGACAAGTGTTGCTGTCCTTGTAGTCTTTCAGACTAGTGCCTCGTATCGGTCTGGAGCACTTGGTCGACTCATTGGCAGAAAACCTTGCAGCTCTCGAAGATGTCAAGGCTTAGGACGCATGTGTTCACTGGAAGCATATGGTCGATCGTCGTCTCAAAAATGCTGATATCCTTGTACGTGTCCAATCTTGAGGCCTGCGTCTACGAGGAGCTTTCGGCTGACTGATGCACCAGAACCTTTGCTGTCCAGACTTCCAGCATGCGGTCAAAGGAAGCTTCGTTCAACTGATGGAGAAAAACACTTGTTCATTTTGTTGCCAACCGAAGCTGAGTGGCTTTCTCCTGAAGCTCGATTGCGCTGCTCGCTACTGATGATGATGATAGATATATATCTTTCGTAGCGAAGCCCATGTGCTGCTGCCTGGCGTCAAGAGGTAAGTGCTCTTGCTTGAATCCCATGTGCCTGCCCTCCGTGCGTTGTTGATATCGACCCTACTTAAGCACTTCGACTGGTGGCTAAACACTAAACTTCTTCAACTCCGTCCTTCCTCCAAATTCTCTCTTCTTCTCAATCCTAACACCACTTTTGAGACTTCTCTAAACTCACACCCATCACGATGGCCCACAAGGCTATCCTCATCCTCACTCTCGTGATGCTCGCACTGGCCGGCCATGGCCTTGCATTGAACCTCACCTGTCTGACTTCGGCTCCCGACCAAGACCAGCTTGCAGTCATTAAGCAAATGGCTCTTGCCGAGAATCATGCCATGGCGCATGGTCAGGACATGTTCGGCAATCAGGTGCTCGACGTCCCAACCTACTTCCACGTCCTCTCCGAATCTGAGAATGCCGAAGGCGGTTGGATTCCGGTAAGCCTCCTCTTGTTCAACCTTCACTTTCGAAGCCACATGACATGGTCTCACCTTCCTAACTTTTAGGACTCTCAACTCGACAGCCTGATTGCGCAGCTGAACGCCGAGTACAACAAGCACCGCATCAGCTTCACCCTCCGCGGCAAAACTCATACGGTCAATGCTCAATGGGCCAACGCCCTCTTCGACAAGGCTTTCTCTGATGCCAGAGAAGCTCTCCGCGCAGGTGGATATGGTTCGCTCAACGTGTTCTTCCAGAAATCTGTGGGGGACCACCAAGCCGGATCGTGGGTCCCCATCTAAGTCTGTACTTCTCCCGCTGTGTACTAACCAGCAATCAGATTTTGCACAAGGCCAGCGAGCGCGCCTACCGACTACTCCCAGGACGGATGCACGCTGATCTTAGGCATGTACAATGTCGCGACACTTACCCATGAGGTTGGCCATTGGCTTGGTAAGTCTCTTACACAGGGGTGTTCGAAGGTTTCTCTCTCTCTAACATATGACAGGGCTTTTGCACACTTTCGAGGGTGGTTGCAACGCTGATCCTGTTCACGGCGGTGACTACGTCGCAGATACCCCTGCCCAAGCAAGCACAAACTACTCTGACTGCACTCTTGGACGGGACTCATGCCCCACTCTGGCTGGTCGTGATCCGATCTTCAACCACATGTCCTATTCGTATGTTTACTCCAACTTCTTGTGTACGTGGACATTGCTAATGGAATCCAAAGGAGCTGCAGCAACAGGCACTTCACTCATGACCAGGGTGTGCGCATGCAGTAAGTTCTTCCCTGTCGTCGATGCGAGTCCTTCTCTGACACTTGAATCAGCAACCAGTGGAACTACTACCGTGCTGGATATGAGTAAAGCCCGTGTCTCTCTCTTGTGAGCCTCCGCTGCATGGCAGTATGCTGATTCCTCAACGGCTACTTCGGCAACATGGGAGCAACAACATGGGGGCTTGGAGAGCGACGGCATAATGGGAGTTACAGATGGATCTGCGGATGGGCATGAAGGGCTTGCTTTGACCTTTCATGACGGACGACGTGCCTTGCTTCGAGCACATGGCGATAGAGCCGAAGGGGCTACAATAAATTCCCTTTCAATCTCATCAACGAGAATTGCCTTTCAAAATCTTTGGCCTTGCCGTTGGTCTTGTGTCGCTGCGGGGATTTCTGCCGCCGTCGCTCAATTCTTTCTTACACTTCCCGCCGACATTGAATCCACGGCATGTACCAGGCTCAAAACCCAGCCATGAGACTGACACTGGTGCGATTGCTGTAATGACATGTTTTGATTAGCCCACTGCCCCTGAATCCCCAAGCCCAAAAGTGAGGCCAAAAGGATCAAAAAAGAAACACATGTCTTCCGTCGCCGAGAATCGAACTCGGGTCTCCAGTCTTTTCAGAGCAAGCTTGAGGCCTGGTTGGCAGGCAGGCCACGGATGTGGGGGACATCCGCGTTGAGGCTGGGCAGGCACTCAACCCAAGACTTGTCTTCTGTGGACTGGCGGGCTACCACTGCACCACGACGGATTTTTGATGTTGAATGAATGGCGAAACGAGATTTTAGTCGTGACAGGAGCAGCGACAGATCAGTAGAAAACTTCTATGTCAAAACTCGTGCACCTAGGGAGCATTCAAGAGCCTCAGGTGCCAGATACAAGAGTTCACCAAGGCCTTCACGTAGGTTGCTGGAAGCAGTCGTAGTTATGTGTGCCACGACCTTTGCCACCAACTCTCGGACCCTCCCAAACCCATCTGCTCCACTAACAGAACCATTTCGCTACGCTATCCCGCCGAGGCGTTGCAGCGTGGCCTCATTGCTTAGGGGAGGAGCAACGGGTGTTTCTCCTGTATTTCTGCCATCCACAAGCTTCTACCTCGGAGTGCTGCCGAGCCACACCCTCTTTACCCCTCCGCTTTAGCCACGAAGGCTCTACCGGCGACATGTGTAGTGTAGTCCTCAATCAGCAAATGAAGCATCCAACTTTCTCCAAAGCCGCAGAGGTAGCGCGAGGTTTCCTGCAGCCAAGTGAACCCCTTGCCAGTGTCTCTTTATGGCGCTCACGCGCATACCGATCGTGCGTTTGATGGACGGCCGGACAGGTGGTTGGCGAGCGTGGGGAAGGAACGTCGAAAGAGCTTGGAATTGATCTTGGAAAGGAAAGGTTGGAAGAAGGCGAAGTCCATGGCCCCAAAAACAAAGGTATACCAAATGCATACTGCGTGCGTCGGATGAGGTGAAAGATGTTAGCGAATGCAATGCGAAAGTCCAAGAGGGTTGTGGAGGCAAACGTGTGGAGGAAAAGATAGGAGCAGTTGCTGTTGCCCCAGCCTCATGATGCAAGAGGGTAGTAGAGACAATTTAACATACACTGACTTGCTGAGGTTCTGATACGCGCTGATGGCCACTTAGACACGAGGGGTATTCAGGCAGTCGATGTTGAAAGAGTGCGACAAGAGATTAGGATGATTGTCACTTGCCCATGACGTTGTCTGAGGCCACTTCTGCGGGTAGGTAGCTGATGCACTGAAGCAGAAGTGAGGTGGGTAACCAAATCTGCCCATGCGCTGAAGCTGCTTATTCCATTTCTCATCTTCCATGTTCTTGCTGACGCGCACGTCAAACCTCGGCGGCCAATTCTAGACACGACCCGCCTCCGCCGCCATCATGGACAAGCAGAATTTCCTTCTGGTTTCGGATACACACCTCCGTTGAGGCTCAGCATTTTATAACATTCTATTGAAACAAAGTCTTGTGAGAGAGCAAATCATGCCTTCCATCAGTCCTCTCAGCTTTCTGGTCAACATTACGTCTCTTATTCTCACCGATTCTTTAGTGCAGGACACATCCAATCATGAGCGCCCACAGTGGGTCGCAAAGAAAATGGCAACTCAAGGCGATGCGCGGTGCTTCATTGGGAGCTCCTCGTAGCTGTCACTTTACGAGCTCGAACATCCAAGTCTTTCGGTAGCAAGGTCTTTGATCACTTCCTGTGTACACGTATTTTGCATTCAAAATTTGGGCCTACGAGGTCAACTCTCCAAACTATGAAGTCTAAGAACACGACTACAGGGAGCAATCGAGCAGCTTGTTCCGGAGTTGCCATTTCTTTTGCGACTGAATGTGGCCTGTGAGGCTTCACCTGTAATCAGGCTCACCTATCTCGTCCCTCCTGCAACAGCGGCGGCTTGAAGGTACGATTCTTTTTCATTCTTCCTTGATTTCGTCCCAATCCAATGAAGCCCACGGCTTTGCTACAGCGCACGAGCCTCAACCTGACCAGTAGTACTAGTGTCTCGCGTACTTCCTTTCATGCCTAGCCCATCCAGTTCACAAAGCACCTTGTTGATCCCTTAAGTTGTTCTTTCCTCCGGGCCCATGTCCGGGTCTGTCACTATTTCCGCCATCATTTCTACGACAGTCACGGCGTCTCCGAGTCCGTGTGCAGCGAGCCAGCAGACTAGTGTGGGCATTGAAGTCCTTGAAGTGGTCGACGAGGCGCTCGAGGATGCTGTGCCACCGGAGATTCAGGGGTGACGCTTAGGGGTAATTTAGCAAGGACCGAAATCAGTCATGGGGTCAGGAAGAAATGAGAAGCAGCAGTGACTCTGGCCGTCTTGGCGGTGTCGCGCGTCAGTCCTACCTTTGGCGAGCAAAGAGATGATGATCGAAACGACGAAGAGGCGGGGCTTACAGTACGGTGGTGCGAGTGTGTGGGCCGGTAGTGACGACGATGACAATCTCTGCGCAAGAGATCCGGCCTGAAGCTTTGTTTTGTTCTTCAGAGAAGTGCCCTGACTCTGAGGCGTCGCGGAGAGCCTAGTCCGTCCGTCGTCTGGGGATGACACTATTCAGGCCGCCTTTGACTTCGGCTCTAGCCAGCCAGCCCTTGCACCAACACTCGCCTCGTCGAGACGTAGACTTGAAACATTCTTGCGATGTATGGCACGCTATGTCTGGTGTCCGCAAATAGTGGGCGGTTCAGCGCACATCATCCAACGTAGGCCTAGGGCCGACGGTAGAGGTGGGTCGCCCGTGCTGTCTCTTCTAGGCATCACTGAAGGCCGAACTGCCCGTCATGTTCTTATTATAGACCGTGATAGTCTTCTCTGTGCGCTTTCTGGCCGCGCGTCGCTGGAGGTTTGCCACGAGGAGGCGCGAGGTGCGTGGAATGCCGCCTGTTTGTATGGGTCAGCGGGCAAAGTTGGTCCCTGCGTTCACCACAGTAGGAGCACTCACTCTCAACAGGACCGATTGGAAAGAAGGCCAAGGGTGGACTACTGAGTAGGTCTTTCGACAATCCTGCTTGCAGAGCTGTCTGAGCCATGTTGGCTTCGTTGCGTGTCACACGACAAATTGTGACTTGCGCAGGTAGGCGACTTTCCCGTCAACAACCCCTGGAACTTCCGAAGCGCCGTACATGCCAGCCTGTACATGGCGAGAGAGGGCAGCGAAGGGGCCGAGCTTCCCCAGCAAAGCCAATGCCAGGCTATCACAGCCATTGAGCTGTCAGGACAGAACTTCCTCGGCCGAACCTTTGCACTGGAGGGCGCCAAGTTCTGTACAGGCTCTCGTATCGCAAGTTCCAACAGCTCTCGCTCCACAGGCTTCGAATTCCTTGCTGTAGGCTGTGCCACGTTGGTCGTCGTTGCCCGTCGTTGTGGATTCATCTCGTGCACAGCCAGGCGTATGATCACGCCGGAATCCGCAACCGACTGGACGGTTGCCGCAATGCCACAATGCCACTTGCGCAACGCTCACCGTACAGCCTCTAACATGCGCCTTGCTCCGCATGCCTAGCCACAATCCTGCCGCGGGCATCTTGTAACCACGTCCTTGGGTGCAGTTGGCAAGAATGTGGAGAGAAATGGACGGTCAGTCGAGAGAAGTGTCACCTTGGCAAAGAGAAGGCGGCGCTGGTATCGGCGAGAGAATCGAGTTGCTGTCATGTTGTGTTTACTATACCTTAGCAAGAGTAGTCGATGAATGGCGCCACGTTTGGGTTCGGTAGACGCGTTTGACTTCACGGAAGGCAAGGATACTCTTGTCTTTCGAACTATGTGCCGAAGATGGAAGCCGCGAAGCCCCCACGATGTAATTAGGTTGTTCCTTGTTGCTCATGGTCGGATCTTTCCAAGTGCGTGGCAATATTTTCCGTTCGTTATGGGGCCATTCCAGCTCAGTCAACACTTTGATACTTCGACTTCTTCCTCGAATGGTCTTGCGGAGGAGACTGCTCCGTTCTCGATCCAGTAACCGTGCAAAAGAATGTGTGACTATCTCCGACGGGCAATTCGGCCTTGTAACAAGGAAGAAGAAGCCGTGCAGCTTCGCCATGGTCCACCAGACTGATTCACGCTTCAATGGCGCCGGCGTGTGTAGATTTGACCAATGAGAAGAAACCAGCCCACTACTAGTGAGTGTCCTCGCCTAGCGCGAGGGCTCTCATTTGGCCTGGCGTTTCCACAGCGGCTCTTTGCTTGGGGTCCATGCTGCACGTCAAGCTACCGGGCCAAAACGAGTGACGACGGGAAAACTACCCTCTTCTTCCGCGAACTCCGATGGCTACAGATAGTAATCTTGGCACCAGAACTGGTCACGTTCTTTGAAATCGCCTTGCAGACGCAGTCAGTGGTCGACGAAGGCCATCGGGTACACTGGGTGGACCTTCACGCACGGATTTAATGCGGCATTGCGGACAGCGGGGGTTTCCTACTCCACCCGAGGGCACTCAGCCCTTTCCGGTCACTGCCAAGAGAAATCCTGAACCTGGTAGGACGGGTACATCAAGACGCCAAGGACCACGGGCCTGGAGATCAACGACAAGAGTAAGGCCGACAGGAGTGCCAAGGATCTCGCCTTCTTTCAGAGTGGGTGGCTGGTGACGAAGCCCCCAGCCCGGGCGGCGCAGGGACTCAAGTGACTCCCCTGGGGGTTGCGACTCCAGCTTGGTGTTTGGCGCCCTCATCACACTCAGCATGCGATGGCCACCATAAGCCCCAAGCCGTCCGTGCCCCCGACAAATTTCCATCCTCACTGGAACATCTCATCGCTCTTGGTTGCATCCGGGGATGCGGCCAAGAATCCATTTAGAAACACGTCTCTGGGCAGTGTGGAACCGAGCAAGTACTTGTCGAACGTGTGGAGCAGGACGTTGTCGCAAACGTTTCCATGAGGAGGCTAGCAAGAGGTTTTGCTGGGACGTGGGAAGATGAAGGCCAAATTTTTGCATTGTCTGACCGTCAAACGAGTCAGGCAAACCCAAAGACCGAAACTTGGGCCCGTCAAGCTTTTGACGGCCTGGAGTTGTCAAGCTTGTCGGTTCGCTACCGACGCATGGAATCCGAGCATATGAGAGTCCAAAGCGGCTGATGCGGAGGATCAACTGCGTGGTGACGTGGATGCCGCTGGAAGAGCTCGGAGTGACCGACTTGGCTCGATTGCAACAAGCCAGCTGCAGCGTCGAGAGGGAGCTTGGGAGTCTTGGGGCGCACGAGAAGCCTCTGCCAGGTGCGTCATGTTGGTTGGC